CGTGTGGAGCTGCATTCTAAGAACAAGTTGATCTCCATTCCCAAGGACATCCTCGTCGTCAAGGATCCTGTCACAGGACAGACGATAGACATGGGCCGTGGCCGCGGAGGACCGCGCGTGCCGCATGGAGGATCTGGAGGACCTCCCTCCGCCTGGCAAGGCGGTCGTACCCCAATGGGAGCTGGAGATTCGTCCCGGACACCAGCCTGGGGCGGTCCCTCGTCCTCGAGAAGTGAGCATCTCTTTCCATACCAATACACAGTTCCATCGTGCTAACCTTATCTTCAGCACCCGCTTGGGCCGGCGTGGGCGGTTCCCGCACCCCAGCCTGGAAGCAAGACGGCTCCCGAACCTCCAACCCCTACGATGGCAGTCAAACCGCCTACGGAGGCTTTGGCTCGCGTACGCCCGCCTGGAACGCTGGAGCTCGCACTCCCTACGTTGGCTCTGGCAACAGTGACTTCGATGCTTTCGCCGCTGGCTCCCGAACCCCCGCTTGGGGCTCCTCCAACGCCGGTAACCGCACTCCTGCCTGGGGCGGAGCCACCGCCAGCAACGGCACCAAGGACCGTGGCTACGATGCCCCAACCCCTGGAGGCTACTCTGCTCCTACCCCCGGTGCCTACGGAAGCGCACCTACCCCTGGTGTTTCCGCACCCACGCCCGGTGCTTGGGCAGATAGTGCCCCGACCCCGGGTGCCTTCAACGCGCCCACCCCCGGCGACAAGAGAGCCTACGACGCACCTACGCCAGCAGCTTTCGATAACGCTGGCGGTAGTCGTCCATATGACGCACCCACACCAGCTCTGGGCGGATCTGCCGCGACCCCAGGCGCAGGTGCATACGGAGATGGTGACGATGGTGGACCGCGGTATGAAGAGGGGACACCTAGTCCTTGAGGACAGGAGCAAAGATTTTGAAATGAATATGTGAAAATAGACAAAATGCGGGCGTATCATTTTTCTCTTTTTCTCTGTTTTGTGCTTCTTACGTTCTAATCACATCATATCATTTCATATCATATCATCCGGGTGCGAGAAGCATGGTTGTTTCGTTGGACAGATTTTTTCTTTTTATCACTGTATTATGTGTATCATCTACTTATCACTACAATCCATCAATTACATTTTCCATAGTGAGAACCCACGTGACAAACATCCTGAGAGGGTGAAGTAAGAAAATGAGATCTACGTCACAGAATTGAAGAAAAAAAAAGAATGAAAATATCACATGAACATACCCTTTCCGCTTGCTTGCTTGCTTGCATTCATTCCTTCTTGCCTTGCTTTTGAGACTTCAAAAATAAAAATACATAGTAAAACACGGCGAAGAAAAAAAAAAAAAAAAAGATAAATAGAGAGGAATTGCAGAAACAACTTAACGCAATCCTCTAGAAACTTAATCAATGAATAAAATCACAAACAAACATAAGCGTCTCATCGACCATAGAATAGTTAAATAGTTGTTGTTGCATGCGATCCCGTCGTCCAATTTTGTGTATCCGTGTTATGTGCGAGAAGAGAAAAAAAAGAGTTTCTTCGGAAGATGGAATAAGAAAAAAGTGGATAGGGATAAATGAAGGTAAAACTATGGCGGTACGGCTCGTGCCAGAACACGGACATTATCCACGAAACCCTTGATCAGTTCTTCATACTGGTTTTTGGGATCTCCCGTCATAGCCATTTGGCCTTGGCGGCGGATTTCGGCGGCGGAGATTTCGACTTCGAGTTCGTGTTCGAATTCGCCTTTGACTGGGGGCTGGAGGGAGGAAAGGGATGTTAGCATGTCTTTGCTTCTTTTTGGAGAGTAAAAGATTATTAAGGGATTCTCACCTCTGATTTCGCAACCTGGGTTAGATCGATCTGGTATGCTAGATGTCGATAACTCATACGATCCTTGTTCCGGTCGCCGCCACGACCACCCCTTCCGTCGGCGACGGGCAGGTTACTGACATCGCCGTCGTAGCTCATTTCGAGGTTGACGCTGATTCGCCAGTCGACACAAGTGCGTGGGCTGTGTACGTCGAGGTCGGCGATGCGGCATTTGACGATCTTTGCGAGGACTTCGCCCGTTCGCTGATCGACGGTTACACGCACCTTGGGTTTATGACGCGGATTGAGGTTCTGTCGGATGACTGGCGGAAGCTCGTTGGGAGAGACTTCGTAGAATGTATCCCTCTCCTTCTTGTGGGCGTATGAAAGTGGGATGCGACCTTGATTTGATTGGGGCATGGACATCTTGACCGCTTCGTTGAGGAAATTATTCATTGCTCGGTGTTGCGCCTTTGCAGAGTTAGCTGGTTAATACATATAGAAACATGCATTATTACTTACCACAGTCATAGTGCTTTCAAACGCAGTCCTAAAGCGCGGGTTATCCTTGTTTACAACAGTCTCAGTCAAGATTGGCAGAACCATTCGCTCCCCGCGATCCATGTCGATGAGCTGACCCAGTTTGGCTTCCACCTCAATGATAGGCATCTGTCCGGCAGCAGCCGCCCCAGCCGGGGCTGCAATGGCATCATTTCGGAGCACGACGTGTTTGAAAAGGAAATCGGCGACAATTTTGGTGACCTCCTCGTGCGGGATAAACCCCGTAATAGACGGTTCCCATGGCCCCAAGCTACCGACCTGTGGAGGTTCGGATGGCCGCTGCGGCGTCGGCGTCGAAGGTCCATTCACGGGCGTGGATTCCCCTTTGACTTTGACAGGAGGAGCAACAGCAGCAGCCACAGCTCCCTGCGCGGAGGACACGGCGCGTTGGCGCACGATCCAGGGGTTTGCTGGCGAGTCTCTCGCGTGTTTGGGAATAGGCGGGTGTGGCTTTGGGATTGGGGGACATCTTCCTTTCGAACGAGCACATCGTTGGGCGTAGATAGGCGGTTCGTTGAGCCTTCGCCGTTTTCGCTTGGGCTGTTGCGGGCTCGACGTGATTTTCGGGTCTGAAGCCACTCTAGCTTTTTGGGCCCACTGGGGCGCCGAATCCTCCACAGACGATTCCTTTGTGATGGACATTCTCGACGAGGGGGAACTGTTGATGTGTTGCTGATGTGTGGGAAGACTTGGGTTCGTAGGTTGGCCCTCCTTTATTATAGTTCCATTCTCAACGTGTTCTGGCTGCGATAAAGCGGTCTGGTCGGGACGTGCCGTAGTTGCCTCGGGACGAGCCCCTGGGAGGAAGGTAGTTCTCGGGCTCACACTTTCGTCTGACTCCCTTCTTTCTGAGGTGGAACTGTGTTTGCGCGGAGTTTGGTCTAGTGTTCTTGATTCTGCTCGCGATGACCGCGCCGCGGTGGAGGGCGACACGTGCATGGCGGCAGCGGCAGCGTCCGGGCCCACCCACGGACTGGAAGCTCGATTCGAAAGAGAGTCACGACCTGAGGATTGAGGACGAACAGAAGATTGGGGTGATTGGTGGGCGTAGATAGCAGCAGCAGACCCTCGTGGCGTATTCGGTAGCGATCCTTGTGCCGGAGGGGAGAAATGTTGCGACGGATAAGGTTGTGCAGCGCCTGTCGGGGAACTTTCCCTGGGATGGAATGAGTTGGAGGAATGGGAATAGGGGGTTAAAACAGACTGGATGGATTGCGACCGTTGTTGAGCGACGGGGGACTGCTGCTGCTGCTGTTGCTGTTGATTGTAAGCGACGGACGCGGCGAAGGAGTCACGCGAGACGGAGGCACCGTAGGGAGGAGGGGTCGGAGCTCGTTGGGATGGCGCGCCCGGAATTATGGCCGGTGAGGGACGATATTGGTAAGGCGACTGAAGAGATCCGTAGGAGGAAGAGCGCTCGGGAGATGCGTGAGATCGTTGCGGCGGCGGAGGGCCGGGAAAGGCTGACGGATAGGAGGATGAGGATGGCAGCTGGTCGCGCGGAGGATAGATGGGGTCGGCGGAATCGCGAGGCGCTTGAGATGGCGACGGATGTGGTTGGGAGGGAGCGCTGGAGTTGCCAGCGCTCTCCGTGTTCATGATGGTGCGCAAGTCCATGGTGACAGCTGGCTAGAAAGCGACAACCTGAAGGTGTTGAGTAGCAAGAAAGAGGGAAGCTGCAGACTCCCTTCCACGATCACTTGGGGACAGCTGAACTCCCGCCAGAAAGCTCGGAGAAGTCACGAGAGAATGGCGAGGAATGACGGCATGAGGCAATCGCCAGTGAGTTGGCGATTTGCAGGGTGGAAGGGCGAAGGGCACGAAAGAGCCGGGATAGAAGCCGAAGTCGAGGAGGAAGAGGAGAAGGGAAGGATGAGGAGAGCTGAATTGAAGGTCGAGAAGTTCACGTCGCGGGATCGGCACCGTATTCTGGCGTGCAATTGGCGGGTGGCCGATTGGCGGCTCGGAGCTCCCATAGAAAGAAGGAATTTTGGGGAAGAGAAGAGAGTGATGGAAGATGAAGCGCAGTGGAATGAGGATAAGAAATGGTTATTCTAGCTGTCAGTCGAGAAATGGGGAAGAGACACATCACCGATAAGTTTAATCAGTAAGTAAAAAGTAGTAAGTAGTAAAGTAGCATTCAGTGTATAGTTAGTTAGTAGTCCCTTCCCTGCTGCCTTCCCGCCCTAAGGTTGCACCGCTCTGAGTCTCATTGCGACGCTGCCTCCACCCCCGTTTTTTTCAATGTACAAATACATTCAAAAACTGATCTGATACATGGTAAAGCTCTGCTTTTACCATTAGAGTTGTAGAGTGTTCTTTTACCATGTCTTGACCTGTGCCTGTCAATGGTGCATGTTGTATAGTATAGATTGACGGGAGTAGTAGCTATAAGTATACCCGGCTTCATCCACTCCCCGTTCAAGATATCCACTTGTAAACGAGATAAAAAGCACAACTCAAGTGCCCCTGAAATACACCTAGGTACTCATTCGACTATACGCTAGTTCGTTTCATTCGTTCACTCATACCATGCCAGTTAACAACCCAAGAATCTCTTTACAGCGTGAGGGGATACCGAAGGTGGCAGCAAAATCCAAAAGGAGAAAGAAAAAGTAAAGCCAACAGAAAAAAAAAAAAAAAAAAAGAAAAGAAAAGAAAAGAAAAGAAAATAAAACACAGCAACGCGAGACGATGGTGTAGTGTAAGTTGAAAAAGAAACAACAAGTCGTCTAATGGTGCTTTTCTCCAAGGCGCTACAGTGCCACACCCCATAATCCACGTCCACCGCAGACCCCAAGCCAGTCGCGCGGATGCCCGGCAGGGGTGGTACCGCCCTGCGGCGACCAGCTGATGTTCGACACTTCGTTGTCGCAGAGCCATACGGCGGCCGGGCCACGCTCACTGGGTGTCGCAGGCGTGCCCGCATTGTGCGGGGCGGGAGGCATGGGGGGCACAGGAGCCGCATTGTGCTGGTTGATGAGGTCCCACAGAAGTACGAAGCAATCGTCCGCACCAGAGGCCAGAACCCCGCGGCGATTGGGCGACCACTCAACGCAGTTGATGGAGGAGCCGTGGCCCTTCAGTTCAAGAAGAGCCTGTCCGGGCTGTCGGACGTCTAGAACCCGCACGATGTTGGAATCTTGCGAGAAGGTGGCAAGAAGGTGGGAATCATGGGGTGATGCTATGACTGTTAGCGTCCAGTTTCAACCGCAGCCACAAAATCTGACCAGGTACATACCAGCGATGCGTAGTAGAGGCGGGGGCCATACGGGCTGGGCTTGTCCAGAAGGACTTCCATTGCCCGGAGTGGGGACTATAGCAGGTACCCGTTAGCGTATAATGCAGGGGTCTTTAAGAAGAAATAAATTGGCATTACCCTTCTCATGCTTCTCCGTGGGCTCGTAGATGATAGTGCTATGTTCTAGGCTGCGGAGATCAAACATGCGCACACTACCATCAGCGCCACAGCTGACGAAGACGTCCACGCTATTCGCGCAGAACCGAACATCGTATACCTCTTTGTCATGTGCAATCAGCTGCGTCTTAGCGGTAAGGGTGGGAATATCCCAGATCGTGCAGGTGGTGTCGATACTCGAGGTAATGATTAGACTGGGCGAGATCGTATTCCAGTCCAATGAGGTGATTGGAGCGGTATGCTCGGGGGATTTGGAATTGGAGAGCAAAGCCAGCGGCGACAGTTTCGCTGTCGGTGCGTGTTGGCTGGCCGACCGCGTAATGGAGTTGGAACTTGGTACGGGTTGCGCCGTTGGCAGCGACCATAACCGCAAATGATCGCCAGACGTGGCCAACAGATCGGTAGACTGCTTCTGCGACGACGGCGGCTCCCAGAGTATCCGTGTTACTGGATATGAATGGGTGGCCTCTGCGGTTTTCACATAGTCGAGCTTAATCTCCCCCGCGGCGGCATCTGGCGTATCGGGGTCGGGTTGTGTCCAATGGGTATCTATAATTTGTATCTATTCCAAATTAGCACAACTTTGAGGTTGCGAATATGAAGAATGCAAGGTGGCAGGGGGACGCGTACGTAGTTGTGGTTATCCTCTAGGTAGCTTCCCAAGGCAATCTTGCCCCCGAACGAGCTGGAGCTCCCCGTGATAGGCCATTTGCACCAATCCATGGAATATATAGGCCAAGGAGCGATGTAATTGCTATTGGTAGGTACCGGATTATCCCCGTTGAACGGCGCCATACCGGAGCTGGTGATTGGGTCACCTAAAAGGTCCCCTGTCGGTCGGATGTCGGCTAGACCCAACGGTGAGTATTTTGCTCCCTGAGGAGTATGGGGAGGGTATGCAGAGCCAGGAGAAGAGCCTGGCTGTCTGTATTTTGGCTGCTCAAACCCCGCTGGGCTGGATCTAGAATGCCCATGAGAGTTGACCATACTGGCGCGGGCATTTGGCTGCTGCTGCTGCTGGGGCGGTTGTTGTTGTTGTTGCGCCGACGGGGGCTGTTGTCCTGATTGTGATGTTGGCTGCATTGGTGTATTCAATTCAGGTAGTGTTGGTAGCGCCGAAGGTGCAGTGTTGACTGATACTGCAGGAGGACGGTTGACGTTACCCGGCTGAAGCGCTCCCGGAAGTACTCCGCTCGCGCCGCTGCTTCCACCACCACCATACTGACCCGGTTGCGACCCCAATGGGTGAACATTGATGGAAGGGACATGGTTGTCTTGACCGGCGGGGTATTCGTGAGACATCGATTGTCGCTGCAGATTGGGGCCCGTCGATGGAATATGGAGCTCCTCAGGTCGACCGTAGCTTGTCGCCCGCCGAGCGTCGTAAGGCTGCGTAGGATTCGACATGACAGCGATGGCCGAACAACCCGAGACCTCAAGAATGAAAGGCGCAGCCCACCGCACAGCAGTTGGAGCTCAATGAGATTCTCGGATTGAGTTCGGGGGTCGAAGACGTAGGGCGATAACGAGGGTACGAGGACTATCCGGAGGAGAGGGGATTGGCGCTAGGAGCTCCGACTGCACCAGGGATGTGCTCGATCTGGATCATATCACGGGGAAAAGATGATTAAGGAGTCAGAGAGACATCCTCGAGCTCGAACGAGGGGAAGGAATGCCTGCAGAAACGGAGAAAGTCGAAGGGAGGAGCGATGAGGCAGCAAAGCGCCGCCGAGGGGAGTCTCGTGTCGCTGACTCAGCCACCCAGATCGCGGGGAATTCCTGCGCTTCTCCTTCCATCATCATCATCGTTGGTTGGGGTTGATATAAGCGATCTTGTCTTGCGTTGCAAAACGAAGATATTTGACACCGGATTACTAGGTGGGGTTCTACACTTATATTCCCCATTAGAGGGCACATCGGCGCTGTATCTCTTCGACTCTATCGTTATCGCCTTGAAACTCTACCGTTGCAGTGTTCTTTCTCTACTAAGCTCCACCACCCGTGAGCTCCCCTCTCTTCTCCCCGCAATATGGCTTCAGATCAACTTTCGGCCCTGCTTCTGCTGCCGCCACCCCCTTCGGCATCGTTCGATCAGTTCAAGGCTGCATACGAGCCCATTCTGTTGGGTGTCTGCACCAAGCTTGTCCGGGAACTTAATGGAGCCAATCACGCGGCCACACTAGATATTGCGCTCTCCCTTCCAGGCCTTCTATCCCCCTCATGTCGGCCGCGCACTAGGGGATTTTCAAGCCTCCAGTCTTTTCTGGAAAGCATCTATAGGCTTATTGGGATTGTGTGTGTTGAGCAAGGCATTGAGCTCGACGGTCCTGGCGGTATTGACGCCCGTGTGATCTTACTCGACTACGATTCAGTCCAGACTGCCGTTCCCAGGGACAATCCGTGCGATGGTCCTATTATTGACTTGCAGACGTTGGCGCGGTCTGGGCGACTGTGGGATTTCATATACTACCCGGATAACCAAGTAGGTCAGGGTCTAGCAACGGCCTTCAGTAGCTTCTATTCTGAGTCTAAGGACCCCAACGGCGGATCTATGAGCGCAATCCCAAAAGCACCCAATTGGAAGGCTGCAGAATCTCTTCTGGTGATGGATGATAACCACATATCAACCACGCATTACTCTGTGGCTGTAGGAGGCACTTTCGACCATTTTCACATTGGGCACAAGCTCTTGCTCACGGCTACGGCGTTGGTACTGCAGCCTGCCGAGGATGTGGAGGCAGGTAAAGTTCGGAAGATTACCGTCGGGGTGACAGGGGAAGGTTTGCTGGCGAAGAAAAAGTATGCCGAATTTCTGGAGAGCTGGGATGAGCGATGCATGAGTACCGGGTCATTCCTTTCAGCCATCATGGATTTCCGTATCCCGGAAACCAGTGCGCCGCGCATTGAACGAGAGTCTGGGTCTGGACCCAATGACAAGTACATTCAGATGCAAATGCGGCCGGATCTAGTCTTCAAGCTGGTACAGATCACGGATCCTTTTGGCCCTACCATCACCGACGAAGAGATTAGTGCTCTTGTTGTTTCCAAAGAGACCCGTGCAGGTGGGGGCGCGGTCAATGAGGAGCGTGCGAAGAAAGGCTGGGAGAGCTTGGAGGTGTTTGAAGTCGACGTACTACATACAGGCGAAGTCCCCACCGATGATGCCGAGAGTTTCGCGTCCAAGATAAGCAGCACTGATATCAGACGGCGTCGGATGGAGATGGCCACGGAATAAATTAGCGCAGTGAACTGGCAAAGCGTGCGGGCAGCTATGCGAACCAGTCGTCAAGCTCGAGAATTTAGACATTGACAGCTGTCCTGAAACGGCAGAGGGCAGGCGTGCAGATATGGGGATGATTGGGCACGATGCGATCCTGTACATACATTGCCGGCATCACCAGCAGCCAGGAACAACAAAGCGAGTCATGCGTTTAAATCCTATTGATTTTTTTGTGAGTTGCGATGGTGCTTCTTGATGAAGTGACGCAACAAGGAGTGAGCTTCAAATATTTTTAAATGGGGTTTGTAAAATAGACGGTCTCCGCACTAATATGTGGTGGTGGACTACTACTTCTTTTTCTTCCGTTCTTTCTTCAACCGCCATTCAGTTATATTTTTGCTCCTTTCTAATTACCGGGGAGAATTTTGAATGGCCTTTTCTTTTTTTTTTTGGATTATCATTCTCTTTGTTTGATTTGCTAAACGCAAATTACCCCTGAGAAGGGTTCAGAATGAGTTGTTTTCTTTGTGCAGAGAGGCAAAAGAGAGAAGAGAGAACAGACCACCAACCATCTTATCTCCCCGGCGTTTGGGATTGCGCCCTGGACTCGGGGGCTACTGGCCCAGAGTGTTTTAGGGGCTGATGATCCTTTCCCTCACAACATCCCCACGCGAGGCTTTCCAGTCCGGACCAACGCAATGCCATTGTTGGCGATTCCGATCCAGTTCTGCAATCTCGATACCGTGCTGCTAAGTACTAGTCCTGCTGCTAGCACCCCCCGGTTTGATGGAGCAGCTCCAATGCGCTAGGCTCACGGAGATGGGGCAGAAGGAGGGAATAAATGCCGTGCGCAACTCGCCAGTCGCAAGCAGGGACGATCTAGGCTTGGGAACGACAGGCCGCCATTGATTCGCGTTCTTTCCAGGCGGGGTTCCTTTTGCTGCAACTCTGGTGGGCGTCTGCATGCAACAGACTCTAATGTCGCATCATTTTCCCTCTTACCCACTCCCCTCCCTCCCTCCCTCCTCCTTCCCTTATCCCCGGTCCAGCCAGCTGTCGTCGTCCTTCCCTACCAATCCTCTCCGTCAATTTTGTTTCCTACTAGGTTCCCTCCTGCAGGTTCGCGCTGGATATCCGCATACTGTTTCGATCATGTGACCCCTGTGTGCCAGCTCTCTCAGCCAATATCCTGTCGTCTGATCAAACTGGGGCGTCTTCTGATGGTCCTGGCGAGATACCCGGAGGTGAAACCCCCCCAGTCGACTCGAATGACGGGATTAGGGATTGTCGCGGTGGGACGCTCTAAATCTTGTCAGACAGGTTCACTTGCTGCAAGCGCTCTGCCTGTGGCCCGCCGTCTACTCTGCAGTCGATAGAGAATGTGCTGGGAGTGTGAGAGGGGATGTATCACTTTCGTCCTTCCTTTCTCCAACTCTTAATTTCTTTTTCTGCTCTCCTTTTTTTTTTCTTTTCGAACTTTTTGCGCCTCATTTTATTTTCTGTGGTCATGATCCTTTAAAAACCTCCCGGCTGTCTGCTGTCACTCTTTGATTATTCTCTCGTCGATTCCCTGTCCATATAATCAGGGTCAGTCCCTTCCTGCTCTCCTCTTTCTTCCTGAACCTCCGACCTGGCGCATCGTTGTTTGCCATACCCCTCTCGTACCTGGGCTGGTTTCCATGTTGGTGCGAGTGACCATAGCAGCCGACCACGCGGCTGCTTCGCTGTGCGAAAACCATGGAGAGACCTCGAAACATTGAAGACTTGGCAGACGAGTTGATCAGTGATATACTTTCGTACCTTTTGGGTTCAGACAATCTATCTCCCGAGCCCTCCCCGACAACTCCGCAAGGCTCGTCTCGCGACTCCGACAATGGCACGGCTCATGCCTTCGGTGAAAAGTCCGAGTTGGATCGATTCAGACTCGTCTGCAGAAGATTCAAGCGCATCGGTACACCCCGGAAATTCACCAGTTTTGTACTCCGGTTTTCATCCGACGAATTCCGAAGGTTGGAGGACCTTCTGAACATGCAGCTAGCCTGTCATGTCAGATATTTCACGTACATGGTGCGACCCTTCTACCAAGGAAGCGGTACCGTCTCTGCAGACCCGCCCGGGATGTTGCGCGCATGAAGCTGATAATCATATAGGTTGGTCCCACATCCTGGATGGGGTCGATGTAGATAACCTTCCCGTTTCATCCATCCACCGGCGTCGGCTCGATGATCAAAAATACATACTCGATTCAAACCTTGATCTCCGTTTATTGCGACGGGCGATAGCAGCTTTTTCTTCCCTACAACAAGTCAAACTCCTCCGGTTGCAAGATGGAGCAGACGAACAATTGCTAGACCACATACGCGAACGCTCGTTGGGAAGAACAACGCGTCTGGATTGGGAACCCGCCTGCACCAGAGCTGTCACCAGCCTGAGCATCTCGTTACTAGAGTCCAACTGTAACTCAGTGAGATTTGTCGGGCCGCAGATCAGCCCGGAAGCAACCGTGAGATTGCTGCAAGCTCCATCCACCAGCCTTTCCGCACTGGGCGCACGACTGGCGAGCTTGGATGTTACTTTTCACTCCGCAGCCAAGCTATCCACATACATGGAGACGCTGTCCAACGTCTTCCATGACTTCTTTCTAGCTGCCAAAAATCTCACGACCATTCATTTAGGCTTCCCTACCAATGCACCACTGGACCTCGCGTTAGAACAAATTTTCCACCACGTCCAGTGGAAGAGACTCCGGACCCTCAGTATCCAAGGCTGGCGCCTCGGCTCGGAAGAAATCATCGCCTTCATCCGTCGGCACAGGCGCCAGCTTCGCAACGTCCGACTAGCCAACGTCTATCTCCGCCCCGGTGGACGATGGCGCGACGTTCTTACCGTCTTACATGACGAAATGGACCTCCTTGAACGCATAGACCTGCGTGGAATCGACTACACCAGCCATTTCGACGCCAACTCCAATGCCCACCACCACGCTGACGCTGCCGGACCCGGTGCCGGCAGTTCTCAAACGCCGACACTTGCCATCGTCGTACAACCCACGCCCGACATGGCCCCGCACAAGGCCTTCCTCAACATGGACTACTCAAACAGTAGCCCACCAGGCAAAACCCGCCGCTCCTTTTCCGATGCCACGCTTGAACAGCTGCGCGGACACACAGCCGACGTGTTAGGAGACAATGAAGAGTGCGTAAGCCATGAACAGAGGTTACTGTGGGAAGCATGGGTTTTGTCCAGTCAACGAAGTAATGTCCACAGAAGGGTTTAATGTCATGTCGTTACGAAATTTGTTCATTTTACATATGTTAAGTTCAATTGGTTTCTCTGCAGGGATATGGAACATTAGTCGCATTCAAGCCGTAAATCCGGTTCCTAAGCAAGTATGTATGCCGCGCTCGCTCGTATACTAGTTAACCACAAGAATCTGGATGAGCAGAAGACCTTAGTACAGAGTATTATGGTAGCGTTGTATTCGTAATGATACCACCTGATAAAAAGAAATAGTAAGCATGAAAACAGACACTTACAACCCACAAACACACATGAGTAAGCATTCAAAACACTAGTTAAAAACTACGGAGATAGAATATGTAGAATGTTACAAAGACACGGGGGAATTATCAATTAACGGGAGGTATACCAAGAAAGAAAAGATGGGCTCAAAGATAGAGTTGAATCAAAGGAAGAGAAAAGAAATCTATGTATTGAGTAGATGATAGATAAATAGATAGATAGGTAGATAGAAATCATCAACCATCTTGCCTGCCCCCTCCTGTAGTAAAAAAAGGTAGTATGTGGTTGTAGTAAGTGTGACTAGATAGATAGACAAGATGAATAGAAATGACAGAGGATCCCAATGATCAATGCAATATAACACATCATCGTTCATCGTTCATCATTATTCTCCCTTTCCCTCTTCCCCTCTTTCTCTTTCTCCTGTTCCTTCCCCTACCCCCGACTGAAACTGTACATGTATGTATGTATGTGGCTTTGAGATATCTACGCACCAGGCGGTGGAGCAGCAGTAGCAGCAGTTGCAACATGATCAACCGCGCCAGCAGGTTTGGTGTTGCGTTCCCGGAGGCGACGACCTTCCATGAGACCGCGGAGACCGCGCTTCTGAAGACCGATGACGCTGCTGAGATCGCCGGTCCAAATCTCGCGTTCGGGACGGAGTTCTGCGTCCGTGTTGCGGCGGTGGTGGGACGGATGGGTGGGGTCGCCGCCCATTTCGGAGTCGGAGTGGTCGAAGCTGGTGTTGGTGGAGGCGGAGGTGGAAATACTGGCGTTGCTCATGGAGTCTTCGCGGTCGCGGTCTACGCCGGCGTTGCTGCGGTGCCGGCGGCTGAAGATGTTGGTGTTGATGCGAAGGGGGATGCCGCGTGAGCCCATCACGCCGCTGGCGCTGCTGGCCACGGAGAGGGCGGAGGTGCCGTGTTCGGTGTCGGAGGAATCGGAGGTGAGGTGGCTCTGGGAGGTGGTGGTTCCGGTACCGGAGGAGGATTCGTTGCCGGCGTGGGCACCGTTCAGCGCTTCCAGGGTGCCGCCGGGGCCACTTGTGAAGCCGGTGCCTCGGCCACCGCCGGCGGCCATTGCGGCGGCGTTGAAGACGGCAGCGGCGTTTCTTCCGTCGAGAACTTGGTGGAGGCGCTCGACGGTGGCTTCGAGGAGGCCGTCGACTTGGTAGGGGCGGGCGAGTTGGAGGAGGGAGCAGAGGATTTGCGGAGTACAGAGGGGTGAGCCGGCGGGGGGGAGAGACGAGGTGTAGAAATAGTAGACGAGGACTTGAAGAGTGAGGACGGTATGGGGGAGGTAAAGCACACGAGGACGAGAGGTAGGGGAAAGGCTATGCGCAGAGGGTATCTCAAGGTTCGCTAACAAGGACTTTGAGGTGACTGAGCGGTTGCTGACAAGGGTGCTGGAATTGGAATAATTGCTGTTTTGCCCCAGTGACGGGGTGATTGTGATGCTCGAGTTGCGACTGGGATACATGGCAACCGCTGGACGTAATGTTGCAGTCTCGGCGATCCCGCTATCACAGGACTCGCGCAGAAGCTGGATAAAGTAAGGGCCCCATCTGCGAGTCAGGATGCGTGAGTTCACAGGGATGCGCTCGCCTCCAACCGCCTGTAGTTCCATATCGGCCATTTCAGGCAGAGACTGGGCGAGTCTGCCTAGTTCGTCGGACGCGGAGGTAAACGGCCGTCCGCCCGAGGTTAATTTAGTTAATTTGTGCTGCATTGATGCAGGGACTGCCGGGGCGCTGTATGAGATGTATCCCGATGTGGGCGTGGTCCGGCACGCATTGTTGTAGAGCCCAAACGCTTCCAGCTCGACCATACACACGTGGGAGAAGTTGATGCGACGATGGTTGTAGTCCTCGACCAAGCTGCGCTTCCGGTGACCCAAAATAACAAAGGTGTTCCTTCTCGGCCACAGAATTCCACGGTTCCAGCTGCCATGTCCGAACACAGAGCCGCCGGCATCAATGCGACCCCAGGTGAGGGTTCTCAGGTCGAGGGCCCAGAGCGCGTATTCTTGCTTCGACGAAGTCAGGTAGGTTCCGCTCACGACGAAATGGCCGTTGATGACTCCTCCGTTGGGGAACCTCAAGCCAGGAGGCGACGCCTGGCTCTGCATGGGTTTCTCGATCAGGCGACCATCGGGGAGGCGCACCTGAAGCTCCAGCTTCACATCCAGGAAGTTGTAGTTAGAATAGACCAACATCGGACAGCCCTCGACCTGCGAATCTTCTAACGGCTCCTGAGCCTCACCATCGTCTGCGGCAGACCCGATGTCGGAAACATTCATGCCTACCAAGGGAGCAACCACACTCCGATAGGCACCGCAGCTTCGGCCCAGGTGAGTGGTACTGGTCCACTTCAGGCTACGTAGGTTAAACACGCTAATCTGTTCAATATAGTGGTTGGAGCTATCTTGCCCTCCTACAACCACCATTTCTGCACCTCCAAATCCGTCGATATCCACCCCAATCGATCCCTGGTGCGGATTTGACGACGCGGGGTTGTGGTGAATTGCCGAAAGTGGAGCAGTGGCGGAGGTGAAATGGGCACTTGAAGGCAAAATGGTCGCGCAGTGTGCATAACGTCCCTGAGGCGAGTCTGTGGCAGGAACACGGGTCCACGTCCGAGATGGTACATCGAAAATGTGAATATCAGACATGACCACCACTTCTGGCTGTGCTTCCTGTCCACCTGAGCCATTACTGGCGGGCTCCTTTGACACGTTCAGTGCAGGCGACATGCCGCCATAGCACACCAACTTATGATCACCCAGAGCGCAGACACTGTGGAAGTACCGCGGACGGGGGATGTCGCCGGTGGTCTCAATCTTCGTCCAGTGACGCCGGATCAAGTCCAGCTCGTATATGTCCGACGTCAATTGCGGGCGACTTTTAGACAGGACACGACCACCGAACACGTAAAGCTTATCGCCCAGGATAGTCGTGGTGGCCCCGACCAACGGATGCGGTTCCCTGCCAGTTGTTCGGCGCACATTGCACACCAAACCTGACAGGTTGATGGGACCCGAGTTGAACGGTGGCGCTTGATGTCCAGGTTGAGCGCCTGACGCAGAGGGATCATCCCTCCCCGCGTCCATGAAGCCCAAGCTCGACTGGCTTCTGGACATCATCTTGGCGGTATACGAATCCTCCACCTAAACAATTCCACAGAAACCAACTATCGTCCTTCCAATCGTGCGCCCAAGCGAGCTCTCATAAAACCAACTGTGTCCGGGTATCCAAAAATCCAAAGAGGTGTCTTTCCAAAATCACGACAGTTTCCAACCCTCAAATGACTTATCTCTGGTACGGCGCTAGAGAGATCTCGATTCGACAGAGTATCATCACACCCAGATATCACGAGTAGGCACGGATTTGGACAAGTGAAGCCGCACGGGCACGATAGGAGAGCGAAACGAAAGGGTTTGGGGCGATCTTCGAGGTCTAAATCGGACCGGGGTAGTGCGACCAGATCAGGGGGCGGGCGGAAAAGGCGAAATCCGTCAGAGGCACTCGCTGGCTTTCCCCGCCGCTGCCGCAGCCTGGACGAGGGGAAGAGGCAAGGAGGTGGGACCAAGAGGCTCTTGACTCGAAGGATGGAATTGCTGCAAGGGATGAACCACCGATCACGTCACTGAAGAAGCCCGATCGAGGAAACACGATTGAGGGAAAGGAGAAAGACGGGGGTTGGTGGAAGTGAAGTGCGGGTTCAAGGCGGTCTCGCTACCTTGTCACTAGTTGGTTGGCGGTTACCCGTTAAACGGTCCAGGCACTACTGGGTCAGATCACGGTGGAGAACAGTGTCTTAAAAGGGAGAGGGTTTGCAGAATATGCAACCCAACCCTGGGAAAGTCAATTCCTCTGACAGGTCAAACTCAAAAGTGGAAGGGAGGGGAGGGGGGCGAACCTGTTTCAGAGTTGAGGCATCAGCAACTTTTGAGGAAAGAACCATGATGTCAAACCAGAACGGGAAGTTCCTCTCACCAGTTTGAATTGTTATTTATAGCACACTTGGAGGTCCGTCAGAGTAGCACCGCCAGCATTCAAATACTTGCACTTCTCGGGCCAAGTAGTTGAAACTCAGGTAGACAGCTTTGATCCTCGGAGTTGAATATCCTGTGTTTGGCAGGCAAAAGCTATCGACGACTAAGGACACCACGACGCACCTCCTTTTGAAGTAACAGTCTTACGGGTCCCTGTGATCGGTCCAGAGCCTCGGCCCCATGACAGTGTGAACATCGATCAGAAAAATAGGTAAAACAACTAGTTAGTGGGTTGGGAGGAAGAGGAGTAAGCACGAAAATCTGACAGTCTGAAACCTGCATGCCATTGTGTATGAACCAAAAATGTTATGACGCTCAGCGACTGTCGAATGATTGATCATCGTACAGTCAGATAACTCATATTTGCTCTTTGTATGCTCACACCCTATTTAGCAGTACATTTTCCCTATTATGCATTCTCGGGGTGTTTACGGGCTTTTATTCGAGGCACGGCACCGGAAACGCATTCTGCCCTTCTGCTGGCCTTTCAGCCGTTCGCGACCAGGGTCATCATGCAGGACGGGACTTCAGCTCCATATCGCCACTCGAACGGGGCCAGACTACTGTTGATCATGCTACCAGTCGCCGTGTGTGGACAGCGAAAGGATCCTCTAAGGTGCGCCATGCAGGAACCAAAGCACCGCGGACACGGTTCCTGCGTGGAGGCCCCCAACATGCAGGAGCTTTATGCGATACAGTTATTTATTAGCCAAGGCGAACCCTGCCCGTCTTGGGGATATAAATTGGAGATCGTTAATCGATTTGTTTGTCATGAGGTATCAAACTATTACACATCA